GCGCTGGGGGAGGGGGAGGAGCGGGGCCGGCGGCTGCAGGAGCGCCTGGCGGCGGCGGAGAAGAAAAACCTTCATCTGAAGGAGAGAATCCGTAAAATGAAGCGTTCCCTGAAAAACGCCCGAGAAGCTGCACACAAGGCTGAGGAGGAGCTGCAGGAGCTGCAGGAGGTGCAGGAGGTGCAGGAGCAGCTGAGGGCAGCAGGGAGGAGATCCCCGTGTCTCTTCTTCTTCTTCTTCTTCGCACTGTGGGGGCACAGAGGTGCAGCAAAGAACGCCACCTAACTCCAAAAGTACCAAACAGGAAGTGCTGACCTTTTAGTGTTGATGACATCACTGAAGGGGGTGTGGTTTTAGTGTTGATGACATCACTGAAGGGGGTGTGGTTTCTACTACTGTTCATTTCCTACACTCATTAAAGTGGTCCTGGTCAAACGGTCAGACTGTTAAATGAAGCTAACGCTAACGCTAACACTGATTTACCTTCATACGTTGTCCTCATTCCTGGGCAGCAGAGGGCGCTCTCAGCAGAACTCCTATGAGATCAGATTTCGGTGGAGAACCAGATCAGGTTCTCAGTCCTCCTTTAATCCAACAACAGTTCCACGGAGGTCAGGGTTCAGTCGACCTCCGTGGAACTGTTGTTGGATTAGCAGTAAAATAATGAACAACCACTAGGTGGCGACAAAACACAGTGTGATAAAAGTAGTACACAGGTATTTGTTATTGCAGTAAATATAAGTGTACACAGTATTTCAGCTGGTCCACAGAGGTCACAGAGGTCACTGTCTGTAGACACACTCTCTCTGTGTGTGTGTGTGTGTGTGTGGTCCATCAATCCACTGGAATGTTCTGGAACAATGTGAACGGTGTGAACAACAGAGGCTGAAGTGAAGTTTTCTCCAGAAGCTTCTGTTCTTCCTGTCGTCTGGTTCATCACTGTCATAGTAGAGCTGACAGACAGGGGGCAGTGGAGAGTCAGGCCTCCTGGGCCTGGACCTCAGTCATCTTGAAATTCCAACATACGGACGCCACGTGTGGAAGGACACGTGTGTAGACGGTGTGTTTGTGAGGCTGTAGGTACAACCCTGTCTGCTACAGTCAGACTGTGGGAAACAAGCTGTCTGGGTTTTCCTACTGTCTTTGAACGCACCAGTGTGAGTCCTGAAACTGTGAAGTAACATCAGTGTTTACTGTCGTACACTACAGTATAGTACTACAGTACACTATACTACAGTATTGTGGAGTTAAACATCTTGACGTCTTGTGTCAAGTGTGAGTCGTTGACAGGAAGTGGAGGTTAGGAAGTTATTTTTCAAAATAAAACACCGTTCAGAATCAGATCATAAATCATGTCAGTTATTGATCTTTCTGTGCGGCCCAGCACCAACTGACCCACGGACCACTGCCAGGCCACAGACCTGGGGTTTGGAGACCTAACATCTTGTAGTACTTTTGTCAAAGTTTCTGTTGTTTGTGAGAAGAAAGGATCAAAGGAATTTTCTGAAAATGCAGCCTTTACAAATCATCATCTCTGCCCCCTCCCCTTAACTCCCCCTTTAACTCCCCCTTTAACTCCCCCCTTAACGTCCCCCTTAACTCCCCCTTTAACTCCCCCTTTAACTCCCCCCTTAACGTCCCCCTTAACTCCCCCTTTAACTCCCCCCTTAACGTCCCCCTTAACTCCCCCTTTAACTCCCCCCTTAACTCCCCCTTTAACTCCCCCTTTAACTCCCCCCTTAACTCCCCCCTTAACTCCCCCTTTAACTCCCCCTTTAACTCCCCCCTTAACTCCCCCCTTAACTCCCCCTTTAACTCCCCCCTTAACGTCCCCCTTAACTCCCCCTTTAACTCCCCCCTTAACGTCCCCCTTAACTCCCCCTTTAACTCCCCCTTTAACTCCCCCCTTAACGTCCCCCTTAACTCCCCCTTTAACTCCCCCTTTAACTCCCCCCTTAACGTCCCCCTTAACTCCCCCTTTAACTCCCCCCTTAACTCCCCCTTTAACTCCCCCCTTAACTCCCCCCTTAACTCCCCCTTTAACTCCCCCCTTAACTCCCCCCTTAACTCCCCCTTTAACTCCCCCCTTAACTCCCCCTTTAACTCCCCCTTTAACTCCCCCCTTAACGTCCCCCTTAACTCCCCCTTTAACTCCCCCCTTAACTCCCCCCTTAACTCCCCCTTTAACTCCCCCCTTAACTCCCCCTTTAACTCCCCCTTTAACTCCCCCCTTAACTCCCCCTTTAACTCCCCCTTTAACTCCCCCCTTAACGTCCCCCTTAACTCCCCCTTTAACTCCCCCTTTAACTCCCCCCTTAACGTCCCCCTTAACTCCCCCTTTAACTCCCCCTTTAACTCCCCCCTTAACTCCCCCTTTAACTCCCCCTTTAACTCCCCCCTTAACTCCCCCTTTAACTCCCCCCTTAACTCCCCCCTTAACTCCCCCTTTAACTCCCCCTTTAACTCCCCCCTTAACTCCCCCTTTAACTCCCCCTTTAACTCCCCCCTTAACGTCCCCCTTAACTCCCCCTTTAACTCCCCCCTTAACTCCCCCTTTAACTCCCCCTTTAACTCCCCCCTTAACGTCCCCCTTAACTCCCCCTTTAACTCCCCCTTTAACTCCCCCCTTAACTCCCCCCTTAACTCCCCCTTTAACTCCCCCCTTAACGTCCCCCTTAACTCCCCCTTTAACTCCCCCCTTAACGTCCCCCTTAACTCCCCCTTTAACTCCCCCTTTAACTCCCCCCTTAACTCCCCCCTTAACTTCAGCTTTTTTATTTTTTAAAGTCAAACAAAGAGAATGAAGTATTTTCCATCCGTGGTGAAGAGTTCAGAGGAATTTTATTTGTCCATTTAAGAAACCAACTTCAACAACATTATCTCTGTCCCAGGTGGGGCCACCTCCCTCTGGTTGAGAAACCAGCCCTGGGTCCTGGTGTAGAGTTCTCACAGTGAAACACTGAGAGTTCCTCACTACTGTATGTGTACTGCGTACTGCATTTACTGTGTCTTGCATACTGCATTTTCTGTGTACTGTGTACTGCATTTTCTGTCGTGGACGTCAGCTGACAGTCAGGGGGCGGAGCCAACAGAAGGGTCCTGGGTCCTGGGTGGTCAGAGGGACCTTCTCTTCATCAGAGTGATGTGTCCTCCTCCTGCTGCTCCTCCTCCTCCTCCTGCTCCTCCTCCTCCTCCTCCTGCTCCTCCTCCTCCTCCTCCTGCTCCTCCTCCTCCTCCTCCTGCTCCTCCTCCTCCTCCTCCCCCGTCAGACCTGCCGTCACTTGGTTTCTGCAGGTGACGACTGCTGTGGTCGACTTAGATCTGCCCCTGTGGAGGGGGCAACATCTGCTGAGGTCAGACTGCAGGGGGCGACTGATGGCAACACACCTGTGGAGGGGGCGGGGGGGAGAAGGAGGAGGACTACAGTAGTACACACGCTCTGATACTACAGTAGTACTCACGCTCTGATACTACAGTAGTACACACGCTCTGATACTACAGTAGTACTCACGCTCTGATACTACAGTAGTACTCACGCTCTGATACTACAGTAGTACTCACGCTCTGATACTACAGTAGTACACACGCTCTGATACTACAGTAGTACTCACGCTCTGATACTCGGTCACCGTCGTTGACTGTTTGCGTGAAGTTCTGGCTCTGAGACGACCGGCTCTGCCCTGTGTGGTCTGGGTTGGGCCTGCAGGGGGAGCCAGAGGCCAGCTGCAGCCGCCTCATGTGTCGGACCACGGCCGTAGCATTAAAGGCTTGCTGGGAAAATAAATAAACAAAGAAATAGAACAGATGAAGAATGACTGAGTCAGGGTCAGGGTCAGGGTCAGGGTCAGGGTCAGGGACAGGGTCAGGGGCAGGGTCAGGGACAGGGTCAGGGACAGGGTCAGGCCCACCCTCCATTTACTCCTGGCGAAGTTCTTCCTGATCTGTCGGCTCACAGACTCGTGGATGTTCTTACACAGAGCTGTGTCTCCAGCAATCCTGTTACACACACACACACACACACACACACACATGGTTATACATGGCAGGGGACGTGTGTGTGTGTGTGTGTGTCTCTCACCAGGGGTGTGTGAGCGCCTGTTCACAGCTGAAGCGTCTGATTGGATCCTTCTCCATCAGACTCCTGATGAAGTCCTTGGCTGGAAATAAAAGACGAGTCTGAGATGTCGTCCCAGTACGGAGCGTCAAACTCAAAGTCAGCTCTGAGGATCTGTTGGAAAAGTTTGGAGTCGTTCTCATCGTAGAACGGAGGGTAACCACAGAGTCTGTGGGTGGAGAGGAACACCATGACCACCCACTGAGCCACCGTGTGATGTCACCCTGTGATGTCATACTCACAGGATGTAGGCGATGACTCCGATGGACCAGCAGTCCACCGCCCTGCTGTAGGGCTTCTGGGCCAGAACCTCTGGAGCTGGGAGACGGGGGGGGGGTTGGTGTTTGTCACCGGTCAGAGAGACAGGTCTGTGGTCAGCTGACTGCTCACCTACGTATCCTGGTGTTCCACACGCCGTGGACATGACGTCCCCACTGACCTCCATCTTTGACAGACCAAAGTCACTGATCATGATCTTTGACTCGTCCTGGGAGTTAAAATACAGCAGGTTCTCTGGCTGGGGGGG